TAAGCGTTTTCCTAGCTGCCCCTGAAGTAGTGACTATAGAACCATGACTTGTGAGACGTGACAGGAGCGAAGCCAATGGGACACAGCGAGAGGCAGGGACAAGGGAGCTTAGCTGGAGTGATCAGGAAAGCTGCTCTGACTAGGTGAAAGGTGAGGATCATAAACCAGCAGGGGCGGAGCTGCACGGAAGAGCGCTCTAGGCAGAGGGAACAGAATGTGCAAAGGCACTGTGATGGAAGAGAAGGTGGCTCATTTAAGGAATGGTGAGTGGGAGGAGATGAGAGCAGGGCCAGGCAGAGGTAGGAGTTGTGGGAGTCCGGGGTGCCTCTCTTTGTGGTCTTGTCCTATCAGTCAGTAGCTGAATTCCTTATTCTCTGCCTGTGGTGGTGTTGAGAGGCTGGAGAGGGCCAAGGACACACAGAAGCCTGGCACTGTGCCCACCGGTGCCAGAGGCCCCGCAGGCTGAGGCTGGCAGGCTTGTTGTGGTTTGCTGGTGGCCGCCCATGAACCTCTGTTTGTTGTGGTGACGGTCGTCATATCGGGCCCACACCTGGGCAGCCCTGGGCCGCCTGGCCATCTGGGCCTGGCACTGACGTGAATGGCAGACAGTGGTGGTGGCTGGTGGCCTGTGGCCTGTTTCTGAGCTGTCTCCAAGATGGCCTCACCCACTCCCTCTGACAGCTAGGGAGCTGCTGCACAGAGCCCATGTCCCTGGCGGGCAGATAGGTGAGAAGGCCAGACCTTACTCCTTCTTCCCACCCAGCCCATGTGCTTGAAGCAGCCTGTGTCCTGCCTCAAGCCCAGAAGGAGGGGCATGTGGGAGCTCTCGTGTACTGAGGGCCCTGTTCCTCTTTCACCCACCTGACGCATAGAGGCTCCCTTGACTATTAGGGAAACTGAGGCCTGGTGAAAAGGGGCCCATCTCATGACATTTGCAGATCCCAGGGTGCGAGATGGGTGTGCAGGTTAGGACCAGAGAAAGGTTAGGGAAGGCCAAGAGCAGGTAGTGCTGGGGGATGTGCTTTGAGCCCCAGGAGACCCCCTAGTGGATTGTTCTTTCTTTCTTTTTTTTTTTTTTTTTTTTTTAGGGTTTTATTTATTTGACAGAGAGAAGGAGAGAGATCACATGACTGCACACGCAGTGGGAGCAGCACAGGGAGAGGGAGAAGCAGGCTGCCTGCTGAGCAGGGAGCCCGATGTGGGGCTCGATCCTAGGACCCTGGGATCATGACCTGAGCCGAAGGCAGATGCTTAATGACTGAGCCACCCAGGCACTCCTGGATTGTTTATTTTTTAACATAAAATATTTTGCTTTCTGGTTACAAAAAGCTTCAAGTGAAGAGTAAAAGCTCCCCATAATTCTCATTACATAGGGTGGCTTTTGTCTAGCTTTGTGCACAGTATCGTAATAACTGTAGTGACCTGTTGTGGGCCATCGTATAGGGCTACCTGCTGTGCCCCAAGCCTGTGCTGAGCACCTAGTAGATGATCCCACCCTGTAGGGCGGCATGCGCTTATCGGAGCCCTGCTTTGAGGATAGAGGACTTGAAGTGCCAAGAGAAGGGTACGATGCCAGGTCTCATCAGGGGTCAGCGCTGGACTCTCTCAGGCTGCTGCATGTCACATGCAGCATTAGCAACGCTGGCCTGGCCAGTGGCCTCCTCAGGCCTTGGGGCCTGCAGCCCAGGGCCCCTGACCCTGCTGCCAGGGGTCAGTGATGACTTAGTCTGACCCAGGGGCAGCACGGATGTGGCTTTAGGAACCCATGGGCCTGGATACCTTGCCTTTTCTGTTTTCCTCTTGCCATGTAGAATGTGCTGGGCCCTGGGAAACCCAGGGAAGCGTCTGGGTCTCTGTTCAGCAGATGTCACAGAGCTCTCTGTGGGGAGTACAGGATGCTGGTCCCTCCTCCTACAGGGAGAAGCTCCCAGCAGGAGAGGGTGCTGGGAGTGGCTGGCCTGGCCCAGTGTGGTCTCCGAGTCACCAGATCTGGGAGCAGCTCCCCCTGAGTCACCGTGCAGCATCTTAGTTCCCTCCAGTAAAGTAAGGCTAAGAACTCCTCCCTCCAGGGTTGTTGGAACATCTGGAATAGATGGGAAGGGCCATTTGTGTGGCCAGCAGGCGTTTGCTGGACGAGAGAGAGACCCACTCGGCCCCTGACAGCTGGCCACGTTGTCTCATCTGTAAAATGGGATAAAAACACCTCACACGAGGGCACCTGAGTGTTTGACTTAAGTGTCACTTAAGTCACTTAAGTGTCGCTTAAGTGTTTGACTCTTGTTTTCAGCTCAGGTCACGATCTTGGGGTTGTGAGATTGAGCCACGGGTCGGCTCTGCGCTCAGTAGTGCTTGGGATTCTCTCTCTCTCTCTCACTCTGCTCGTCCCCCGCCTTGTGTGCGCGCACTCTCTCTCTTTCAAATAAATAACTCTTTAAAAATCCAAACGATGGCCACATGCCTCACAGGGGAGCTCATGATTAGGCAGCTGGTCTGCCCTGGCGCCAGGCGAGCGATGGTGGCACCCCGTGGGTATTATGAGTAGAAACTTGTTTCGTGCGCCCCTGGGTTGTTCCTGGACAGGCCTGGGCTTGGGGGCAAGTCGCGCTGATGCCAGCAGAGTGCTGTTCTAAGTTCTCTAAAGATCACTACCACGTAGGTAGTGATCATTTGTCTTTGTCTGGTTGAGGATACGGGGGGCTCAGAGAATGGGGACTTGCCGAAAGGCACCCGGCCTCTAAGGGGCAAAGGTGGGATTTGAATTTGGGACAGAGAAAGCACATGATTCGGCGACAGAGGTACTCCAAGAGCTGGGGCCAGCGTGGGGAGAGCAGGGCTCCCACTGGCTCTGGGGTCGAGGACGGTGCCGTCGCGGCCCTGACTTAGCAGTGGGCATGGGGCCACCTGGGTCAGGCCCTTTGGCTGCCAAGGGCTAGGCAGACCTCCCTCAGAGCAAGCATCTGGGGTCTTGGGCGGCTTCCGTGGGGAGGAGGTGCCTGCCTACACCAGCCCCAGTGCTCAGCCCACACACCCCGATGCAGATCCGGGACTCTCTTCCCACCAGGGCTCTTCTGTTCTGTGGCAAGTCATCTAGCTCTGAGGACACCTGGGGCCAGGCCTCATCTCCCCAGCAGCAATAACAACCCTATTCCATCCCCTGACAGTGGTGTCAGGCCCTGCCTGGCTGCTGGGTCCAAGTATGTGGGCCTCCAGGCCAGGGACACACGGGGAACTGAGGCCACGCAGTGGGATGTGGTGGAAGCTGGATCTGAACCCAGTTCAGAGGTGGCTTCTGGGGCTCGTGTCCCACAGTGTGCTGTGCACGCTCATGGCCGGTGGTGTGGGGCCCTGGGCAGCTCCCATTTCCCCGGGTGGCTGGTGCTTCATCAGGGGCAGCGTGTGAGATGGGTGGGGAGGGCAGAGCACATAGTGGGGCTATGCCTGGGAGGTGGGAAGGACACTCCCACAGGAGTTGGCAAGTGGTCTCTGTGGCTTTGGGGACTCAGGGTCAAGTCCCACCCCTGCCACCTGCATTCTCAGTGACCTGGGAAAGTCAGTTCCTCCTCTGGATGGTGGAGCTCCAGTCCCGGTGGCTAGGAGCGGGGGCCATGGACTCAAGGCAGCCTCGGTCTTCCCCCGTGGGCCTGGATATGTCCCGCTCTTGTTCTCCTGCCTGTGAGGTGCCATGGTGGCCTCTCCGGAGGGCAGCCCCCATGGAAGCTCCCTCTGCTGTGTCCAGCACTCTGGAATGTGCACTCTCCGCTAGCACTGCCGCACGCTGGGCTCCTGGCCGCCGCTCTCAGCCAGCCTAGGAGCCGTGGGCATGTGGTCTCAGAGAGGCGCAGCCCATCTCCCGTCCTTAGGAAACTGCCTGGTGCCCTGGGGAGGGAATTGCCTTCCTGCGGTGCTCCTGGAAGGGGTGGCAAGGGCGAGAACTTTGCGGGGGGTGGCGAGCATTAGGCAGCACGCTTCGGTCAGCAGCTCCCCAGCCCGCATCTGGTCCAGACTTCCCAGCCGCCCCTGAATGGGGCCTCTGTGGTCCCAGTGACAGATGGGGAAAGGGAAGCTCAGAAGAGGGGCCGTCAGCAGAGCTGGGACCTGAGAGGAGCTCTGTCTGCCTCCAGGGCCCCCCAGCTAGGTTAGCGCCACAAGTGGGAGCAGGAGCTGGGTCAGTTTGCTAGCACCTCGGGCTGGAGGGTCCCAGGCGCTTCCTGCCTGATGGTCCCAGAGGCCAGAAGTTCCCTTAAGGTGCTAGTGGGCTGGTTCCCTCTGAGGCTGTGACGGAGGGGCCCGTTCCAGGCCTTTCTCCTAGCTTCTGGATTCCTTAGGGACTCCCTGGCTTGCAGATGGCCATCTTCCCCTGTGTCTCCTCACATTCTCCTCCATCTGTGTGTATCTGTCTCTGTGTCCAGCTTTCTCCTTTTCTAAAGCTACCAGTCCTGCTGGGCTAGAGCCCATCCTCATCACCTCATTTTTAACTTGATCGTCTCTGTAAAGAACCCATCTCCAAACAGGGTAACACCCTGACGTACCGGGGCTTAGGACTTCAACACGTGGGGTTTCTAGGGGCACAGTTCAGCCCTTACCAGGCGCTTGGGACACAGGGCTTCTGCAGGGGGTGGGAGCACAGGCCCTGGTGAGCACTTTGGCTGCTGGGACGTGGCCCTACTCCCTCGGGGGATGCCCAGTGGTAGCCTGATGTGTGCCCCATGGGGGCAGATCTGCGATGGAGTGACCTTCCTTGGAGGTGTGCTCTGGAGACGTCTTGGGCAGCTGTCGGGTGACTGCCTGAGGCCAGCTTCCGGGAGGCCCTGTGGGGCTGGAGCCAGAGATGTCCCTGTGCCCAGAGACACCAGCCCCCTCAGATCATTGCCTGCACTGACTGACCCTCAGCATCTGTAACTGTGCTCGGGGCCCCTGAGGGCAAGGGGCCTGAGCCATCTCTGTCCCCAGGGGATGTTGACAGACTGAGCGTTGACCAGTGCCTCACCTCTTCGTTTTAGGGAAAGCCAAAAGGAAGAAGGACTTACGGATATCCTGCATGTCCAAGCCACTCGTGCCCAACCCCACGTGAGTCTATCTCAGTTTCTCCCCTGGCTCAATCTGGAGAGGCTTCCCGGAGGGGGTCGAAAGGAGGGGAGCAGGCAGGGGACGGCGTGTCCCGGAGAGCACCTCCTATGAACTGGGCCTTAGGGGGCATGGCCACGGCGGCTCACAGGTGTCACACGTCCATTCTGCGTCCCCTTCTCGCCCATCTTGGAGATGGAAGGGTGAGCTCTGGCCACGTCTGTGTGACCCACGCCTTGTATGTGACACCGTGGGTGCTTGATGACAGACTGGGTGCCGTGAGCAACACCACTGCCCGCAGGTTGCCTCCCGGGGACAGGACGCGTCTTGGGCTCCTAGGCCAGGCTGGTTTGCTCCTCTCAGGCAAGGATATGCTGCTTTCTGAGGCTCACGGGGTCCTGCTTTTCCCCCCACAGACCCCCCCGGAACCTTGACTCCCGGACCTTCATCACCATCGGAGACAGGGTAGGTGCCGGCTGCACACCTGGGGCGGGGCCTTCATGGGTTGGAACCTCAGCGTTTTCATCTGATAAGTGGGCCCAAGCTGACCTTGTAGGGCACTGGGAGGAGGCTGTGGGCGGTGGGAAGAGCTGGGCTTTGGAGAGGAACCTCACTCCCCAGACGTTGGCCGTGTGGCTCTGGGCTGCCCACCCTTAGACCCTCTCACCTGCCTCATGGGGCTGGAGAGCCAGAGCTGGCATGAAGTTTCCTGATCTCAGAGTTTGGGTCCTGGGGCTACCAGTGCCCACGTCACCTGTGGGAATGGTGCATCAAACATGGGGACTCCTGGCTTTAGCCTCAGAAGCAGCACCTGGGAACTTGCCTTGCACACGTACCTGCTGATGGCTTGCTCCCCAGCGACTGGGGTCCTGGCTGGGGGACTGTGCTTCCCCCACAGGCAGAGACCCACTGTGGAGGCCTTTCCGTGGCTGACCGCTGCTCCCAGGCTCATTCCCAACTGACACTTGTCAGTGGGCGGTGTCCAGCTTTCTTGTCTGCCGGACAGCAGAGGGCGTGAGGGAGAGCAGGAGGCTGGGGCCGTACTGCCCGCTGTGAAAGCAAGAGCCTCATTCTGTTCTGTCTGTCCTTAGTGCCTGAAACAGGAACGCGCACGTAGTGGGGACTCCACAAATACTGGGTAAATGAATGATTCTGTCCCAACCGCGAATGGAGTTGGGGGCAAGAGGGACAGGGCCTCTCTGGAGCTCCCTATGCCAACTGGGGGCGTTTTGTAGGTGGTCGTATTTATGCCATGTGATAGTCTTGAACGCTGGGCTGTGCCCATTTTACGGAGAGCAGTGTGAGTCTGCTAGGTGGTGTGACTTGGCCCAGGTCACACAGTAGAGGGTAGTTGGTGTAAGATTTGAGCTCAGATCTAACTGACTGGCCGTTTCCTCTCCGCTGCCCCTGCGCTGTCCTGACTTGTGGCCTCTCTTTTTTCTGTCCCCCAAGAACTTCGAGGTGGAGGCCGATGACCTGGTGACCATCTCAGAGCTGGGCCGCGGAGCCTATGGGGTGGTGGAGAAGGTGCGGCATGCCCAGAGTGGCACCATCATGGCTGTCAAGGTACACAAGGGCTCCGCCCCGTCCCGCCCCACACAGCCCTGGAGCTTGGGGACACTTGGGACACTTGCTGGAGGAGGCATGGGGGCTGAGCCTGTGGCCCGTGGGTACCCCTTGGATCTCCTAGTCCTCCTGCGAGGGATAGGGGTGGTCGCCCTCTGCCACATGGCCCCTGACCGTAGCCCTCTGTTCTGCAGCGGATCCGGGCCACCGTGAACTCCCAGGAGCAGAAGCGTCTGCTCATGGACTTGGACATCAACATGCGTACAGTTGACTGCTTCTACACCGTCACCTTCTACGGGGCCCTCTTCAGAGAGGTGCGGCCCTGCTGCGTGGGTGGGAGGGTGGGAGGTGGGGGCTGGGCTGCAGGGAGGAGCACAGGCTGCCCCACCCCACCTTCCCTCTGCACACCTGCCCCCCTCAGTCTGGCTGCCCCACTGTCTGCTGTTGCTCAGTCGGGGCCCCCAGCAGACGTTTGCCGAGCGCCGCTGTGCGCCAGGTTCTGGGCACCGCGGGAGTGAGACCACACATGCAGGGTTCTTGAGAGCTTTTTCCCAGGACCCAGGCTGCCTGGTGCCCCTGCTTCCTGCCCCGGTTTCCTTGTTTATGAAATGAGGCCAGTGATTGTATCCACCTCCCAAGGTCGCGTGAAGATACAATGATGTGACCCAGGGCCGGGCACTCAGTCGGTCTCGGGGGACACCTGCTTGCTTCCCTGGCGTCCAGGCTGGCACGGTGGGGTTCTGAGCAGGGGCAGCCAAGGAGGCGTGCGAGGGTCTGGTTCTTGGTCTGTGGGCAGCACTGGTTGTAGGATGAGGGAGCAATCGGGGGTGATGCCAGGGAGTGTGGCTTGCTGCAACTGAAGGATGGCCTTCTGCTGGATGCTCCTTGAGCATCTACCAGGTCCCCAAGTGTGCCGGGCCAGTGCCTCCTCACCCTTGGCTCATGTGCTAAGCGCCTGCTGTGTGCCAGGGCAGGCTGCCGGTCCCCTTGCTGCGGGGTGGGGGGTGGGGGGCAAGACACACACCTGCGCCTCACTGCATATTGGGTCTGAGTTGGCAGGGAGGCACGTGGGCCTACAGGTACCCCACAGAGATGCTGTACCCAGCCTTCATAGACGACTGTCCTGAAGGATAAGCGTTTGTGGCGGAGCTGGCAGTGGGGGAGGCTGGGCTTTGCAGGAGAAGAAGGGAAGCATCCTTCAAGGCTAGAGCTAGGATGACCTGTGCATGTTGGGGGCCGTAGCAGCTGAGGTCAGGTGGGTCTGCAGGGCTTGGGCATGGAGCTGAGCTGCAGCTGGGCCTAAGAGCCGCCATGCGGAGGGACGCAACTGGGTCTGTGTTTTAGTTACTTCTTTCTGGAAACTGCCATGGACTTCAGGATCAGAGGGAGGAGACCAGAGGCAGCAGAGCTGGTGAGGCTGGCTGGCATACCACCCACTAGGATAGACAAGCAGGGAAGGTGGAGAAGCAGAAGTTGAAAGATTGCAGAATAAGAAGAGCTGGGAGCAGGCAGGTGTGTCTTTGGGGAGGCCTGACCAGCGCCAGAGGGTCAGGCCCGTGCTGACATGGCCCTAGCGCAGGGTGTCCAGATACCGGCACCACCTCACGCTGACCTGGGCTCACCTCCAGTTGTCCTTCCACAGGGAGATGTGTGGATCTGCATGGAGCTCATGGACACATCCCTGGACAAGTTCTACCGGAAGGTGCTCGAAAAAAACATGACCATTCCAGAGGACATTCTGGGGGAAATTGCTGTGTCTGTAAGTGACCTTGGTCTTGGGAGGGGTTGGGGGATTCAGGTCCATAACCAGGGGCCCCAGCCCTGTGCCAGCAGGCACAAAGCCCAGCCTCATGGTGAGAGCTTGGGTAGAGCTGGGTCCCCAGTGGGGCCCTGAACCTGGGCGACTGCCCTCAAGGGACCCAGTTCTCCCAGAGCCTTCTTGCTAAGGGAACCCCAGAGCCTGGGGCTCCCAGAACCACACAGATTTGGCAGATCTTAGGTTTCTAGTTGCCTTTTTTTTTTTTTTTTAAGATTTTTATTTATATATTTGAGAGAGAGAGAGAAAATGAGAGAGAGCACGCATGAGAGGGGGAAGGTCGAGGGAGAAGCAGACCCCATGCTGAGCAGGGAGCCCGATGCAGGACTTGATCCCGGGACTCCAGGATCATGACTTGAGCTGAAGGCACTCGCTCAACCAACTGAGCCACCCAGGTGCCTGGGCTTCTAGTTTTTGTGTGCCCAGTCCAGAGCTTTCTACACCATTTAAAAAAAAAAGACTTAGTACTTAAAACTTCCTTATGCCAGAAATGCCCTGAGACAGCTCACAGAAGTACAAGCTAAACCGGGGGGGAAGCTTAGCATCCGCAGCTTGAGGTCAGGTGTGTCTGGAGGAAAGTTGCCATGCTGGGCTTGAGCGTCTGGAAGCCAAAGGGAAAAAGGAAACGGAATCAGTTATAGTGGTGCCTCTGAGACCTCACTGCACGTGGAGCATTGAAAACACACCGTGCCAGAGTATCGAGTCAGGGTCTTTGGGGTAATTGTCAAGGGTTCCCCACTCCGTGTTCCGGAGGGGAATGGCTCAAGCACACGGGCCTCTGGTTCTGCTGAAGGAGAGGAGCCAGGGATGCCACGGAAGGGCTGGGGTTCACCGAAAAGCCTGCTAGGGGTAGTGACAGCCCCTTGGAGGGCTCACAAGCCTGGGACTCTACAAGATCTTGGGTACATCATTTCCCTGGTAAAGGCTTGGGCCTGAGACCCTGGCCCACTCGGGTGGGAGGGAGAAAAGCAGGAGGCCAGGTATGCCTGCACCGGGATGGCCACAACACCAGGGTCAAAGCTGGGATGCGGGCAAGAGCCTGGGACAATGGGCGGGGGAGGGCTAGGGTGCATCTGTGGCAGAGGGAGACAGGTGGACATGAGTAGGGGGTCTTACTGCTGTGTCGTGGTTGACAGAAACGGGAGTAACAGCAGCCTTGTCTTTCCTCCTCCTGCCCCCAGATCGTGAGGGCGCTAGAGCATCTGCACAGCAAGCTGTCTGTGATCCACAGAGGTCAGTCTCTGCCACTGCCCCACTGGGGGTAGGGTGGGGGGCGGGTGCCTGCGTACTGCTCAGAGGCACGGGCTCGCCCAGTCCTGCAAGGAGTGGGGACCTCTCCCCTTTCTGCAGATGAGCTGCCTGAGGTGATAGGTAGCGAGGTGCCCTTTGGGGTCCCGATTGAGCCTGCTTCCCAGTCCAGGCCACTGTCACTTCTCCAAGCCATTGTCTTCCGGTCCCACCACACTGGGCCCAGCTGCACGCCCCCTGTCCACTCCTCCAGGCCATTAGGTTTGCTGGTGCTCGGAGCAAGAATTGGACTTCGGTCCTGGGAACACTGACGGGATTTGTTTTGACATAGCATTGACATATCGTGAAATGCACAGATCCGTAGTTAACATCTGATGAGTCTGTTTAGAATTTACGTCCACATAACCTGGCCCTTTTCAAGATGCAGGATGTTTGCACCTTCTACCCCGCTCCAGAAAGTTCTCTGGGCCGTTCTTGGTCAGTCCCTGCCCCTACATCCCCCCTTTGCCTCATCTGGTTTTCTCCCACAGTACATGGGTTTTACTTGTTCTTGAACTTCATGTAAATGGATTCACGTGGCCTTTCTCCAGCCTCTGGCACTCAGCCTAATGTTTGTGAGGCTCAGCGGGGTTGTGTAGGTCGTAGTTCCCTCTTTTTCATTCTGAGTAGTTTACTTACCCGGATGTCCTGCTTCTCTCAAAGCCCGCTTGGACTCCTTGGCGGCTCCCCCAGCCCCTGCCCCCCACACCCCCAACTACCATTGGCAGCTCAGTGTGGAACCTGCTGGTCCTTTTCTGGTGCATTTCTGTGCTTCTGCATGTCCGTGTAGGAAAGCGTGGAGGTTGCATGTGTGCTGTGTGTGCTTTTGCTGGAAGATTCCCTGCTCTGTGGCCTGTATCCTACTCAGCATGGACCCCTGTCCTCTGTTTATGCTTCCACCCTGTGCCTCCCGGCCGAACCTCCCATCCTCTCAGCGTGGATGCTGGCTGGCTTCTGGGTTCTCCACCGGTCAGCGGCCCCATCCCCCGCCAGAGCCCCAGCATGGGAGCACCCCGGAGCTGGAGGTTCTGCCAGGAACCAGGCTAGGTGCCCCCTCTGGACATTGTGTCCTGAGTGCTGATGGTGGGTGCAAAAATGAGGTCCTGGTAGAAACTCCCTATCTTCCCCCCCTTGTGACTGGTGGCCAGGGCATGTTCTGGCTGTGCTGCTCCCATCTTTGTGGCCTTGGGCTGGAACAGCACCTCTTGGAGCCTCGTCCCTCATCCATTTCCTGGGCCCTGGTATCATCTGCTCTGTGGGTGCTTGGGGCGTTGGAGGAGCCTGTTGGCCTCTGGCAGTGCCCCACAACCCCAGAAGATGAAAAAGGGGTGTTCTATCCCTGGCAGATGTGAAGCCGTCCAATGTCCTCATCAACAAGGAGGGTCATGTGAAGATGTGTGACTTTGGGATTAGTGGCTACTTGGTGGATTCTGTGGCCAAGACGCTGGACGCCGGCTGCAAACCCTACATGGCCGTGAGTGCTCCCCCTAGAGGTTCAGGAGGGAGGTGCCTGCAAGATCCGGGTTGGGTCGTGTCCTCTGTCCCTTGGGGACAGGGCCTTCCTGAGGCCCTGCATTTCCTGCCACAGCAGGGGTGATCTGTTACCCAGCCTGGCCAGCAGCTCCGCTTTACCCCTGGTATTAGCGGTGTCCCAGATGCCCATTTAGATAAGTTTCAGTGACCTGTGGGATTTGTGTAGGTCCCAGCCTGTCCCACAGTCCTGAGGGTGTCCCCCCTTCCCGGGGCAGGGGTGGCTGTGAGGCATAAGGTTTGGGCCTTTGTCATAAGACCCTAGCCCTCGCTGGCCTCAGTTTTCTCCCCTGCTCTGTGGGGGATGGGAGGGAAGGATTAGCACTGACCCTTCTGGTTGGGGTGGGGAGGGAGGACCTAGCTGAGGGAGCCTTGGGTGTTGCCTACTCTGGCCCCTCACAGTGAGGTGAGTGTTCAGGCCTTACTGGTCCCTTACAGCCTGAGAGAATCAATCCGGAGCTGAACCAGAAGGGCTACAATGTCAAGTCCGATGTCTGGAGCCTCGGCATCACCATGGTAACTGCTTGCAGCTGGGCCTCACCTTTGCTGGGCTGGGGTGGGGAGCCTGGGGGTGCCAAGGCAGTCCGGGAGCTTTGGGTGGGCCCATCCAATAGTTTAGGCCTGGAAAAAAGGGTTGGCTTCACAATCTGAGAAGAGAACATGCCATCAAAAATTATCATATATCTAGGGGCATATTTGCAGTGATGTTAACCCTTCCCAGTGGGGAGCGGTGTCCTTTATGAAAGTTTGCGACAGCTTGTGGTAACCTGCCTATCAGGCTTTCCCCAGAGCTCGTGGCGCTTGTTGAGAAATCACAGCCAATTCCGAATTAAGTGAACTCCTGGCACGCAAATGATTTAAAAAGCAAAATGGCAAAATTCTTAAGAAAATTGTGTTTTCTCACAGCAAAAAGTTTGTTGCTTATGAGGTCCTGGTGCATTTCCTTGCGTGTGGTGGAATGGGGTGGGTGGGTTTTCAGTCCTGGGGCTGTGGGGGTAGGAGGGGTGAGGGCGAGTCTTCAGCCCTTAGCTCAGCTGGGTTGGCTACATCTGAGGTCCAGGAGGAGGGCTGGGCCATTTTGCCTCTTGTTCTTTCTAGAACTGCCCAGTGAATGCCTGTTTCTGCCTGAGTCAGGGCTTGGCTCAGGTCTGGGTCAAGGTTTATTTAGATACTAATATAGAAAGCCTATTCTGGTACTCATGTGGAGACCAGAATGCAGGTTCCCCCCACCCGGGTACCTGGGAAAACGTTGCTGTCATAGTGGCCTCAGTGTGCACTGAGCTGGCTGGGGCGTCATCGGCCTCCATCCCCATCCCAACCATTGGCACAAATAGGAAGTGTCCACAGCGTGGTTGTTTCCATGGTCATCACCCTCCCTGTCCCAGGCCCCCTGGGCCTCCGGTGTTGGCGGCGGGGCACAATCAGTAATCCAAAACTAAACCAGTACGATACCTAGTGGGAAGGGGTGTGGAGGGGAGAGACTCAGGGGTGGCAGGAGAGCAGCACAAGCTTCTGAAGCAGTAGGGGAGGGCCCTGCAGGACTTTGGGGGTAAAGGCCCTGAGGTGGGGAGTGGTGCCTAGAGTGAGCCTGGAGGGTCAGACTCAAGAGGAGGTCAGAGAAGGGTGTGGCAGTTTAGGGTCAACAGTAGATGTTTTGGATCTTACTGATAATGGGTTTCATTATCCTCACTGCCCTCCTCATTGTGTGACTATAACCCTGTAAGCAGTGTCTGTATGCACTGACTGGGAAAGGACCCAAAGCAAAATCGTATTGTCAGAGACTCGTAATTGGGAGATACCTTCCATTTTTCTTAATACTTGAGAACTCAGTCCTTTTTCAAGTAAATGGTTTTCTTTTGAAGCGGAGAGGAATGTTCGAAGGCTAGAAGTGCACGGTCTACCTGCCGATAAGAGTCTCCCAACTCCTCAGTTAAAAAATCAGAGCAAATTCTGGCTGGATTTCTAGACGACAGAGGGCTGGTTGGATGTTAGAGACCCCCGCACTCATGACCGCTTGATACATACACACCCTTGCACCCCTCCATCCCTTCCTCCCATCCATCCGTCCATCCGTCATGACTGGGGATCCACCACATCCCAGTGAGGGTCTCAGGTGTTGGTGGAAGTCGGGCAAGGTGTGCTAAGCGCATATTTCAGGTAGCAAGGGCTGCGTCACTAAGTGCTCCAGAATCTAGTGCCAGAAACCGACAATGGTTCATTGTTTCCCAGGCTTCTACAGCGTGGGCTGGACTAGCTGGGCAGTGCTTCCTTGCCGCCTGGCTCTGGCTGGGGTCGGGGCTGGGCTGGAAGGTCTGGGAAGGCTTAACAGATGGAGGGCCACTATGTGACTGCCTCCTGCCATCTGCTTACTGGGTTCCAGGGTAGCTGGTGTCTTCTGCGGTGGCCGGGTTCCACGAGAGAGAGACTCTGTCCTGCCCGTCCCAGGATGGGCACCGTGTCCCTTTTGCCTCATTCTGTTGCTCAGAGCGTCCCAGGCCAGGCCAGGGTCAAGGGGAAATAGCGTCTGTGTCTGGAGAGGGGACTAGCTTGCACACATGGGAGAAGCTGCGCTGGCAGCTTAGGCACCCAGCTGCTCCAGTACAGGTTAGGTTTGCCCCCAGAAGTTAAGAAAGTCGTAGAAACACCATCTAAAAACAGTAAAAACAAAACCAAAAAACAGACGAAAAGTAAAAAAAGATGAAAAATAAAAAACAAAAAAGACCAAAAAAAAAAATCAAAAGTGAAAAAATCATCAAAGAGACATAGCCCCTTCTCCCTGCTGTCCACTGCCAACATCGCGCATTTCCTTCTAGATGTTTTCTCTGATTTTTATTTGGGTTTTTTTCCCTTAGCACGACATCACTTATGTTTCCCGGGGTTGTGAGGACCCCCTGTGGGCATCCCCTTGAGAGACCCCACACCATCTGCCCCCATCTCCCCAGCCAGTGTCTAATGTCTTTCCTTTCAAAGTCCCTGGCTGACCCCGAGGGAGGGACTGGCGAAACCCTGGGTGCTGGGCTTGCCCCATAGTGGGGTTCCCTCCAGGCCTCGGAGCCCGCCCTGGGTAGCCGTCTGTGGGCACGTGGGCACAGCCACAGAACATACAGACGTGGGATGAGATTGGGAAGTCTCTTGGCCATAACAGGTGCTGAACAGGTGCTGAGCAGGTGCTGAGCAGGTGAACAGTGAATGGGGTATCATGGAGTGTGGCCCTCACGGTCATGGTCACGGTGAGGGTCAGCCGCCCTGCAGCAGGCCAGTCCCTGGTGCTGTTTTGACTGCCTCTTAATACTCTGTTACTAATCATACCACACCATGCATTTTGTGCCCAGAGGCTGTTTTGTTTTGTTTTGCATATTTTGAACTCTAGAAAAAATTACAGGGGGTGGGGGGAAAGGGTTAGGAGATTAAGAGTCTGGAGAGTTTTCTGTTTTTCTAATTGTAACTCTGGCAGACCACTGGATCCTTCCGTGGAAAACCACACAGGACCCTCACTTCTGCTACTTGGCATCGGTGAACATTCTAGGAAAAAGCACCCTGAATTAGTCCTGTGAAAGTACACACCAGCTCACAATCCTGCCCGCTGTGGTTTGCAGACCCTCCATCTGTGGGGTGTGTTTATGTCTTGGCTGGAAAGGGGCCTTTAGCCTAATGGGAAGGCCCTTTCTTAGCACAATAATTAGTGAGCTGTTCAGGCGGCAGTCGCCAACACGAAGCATTTGTTTGAGCTGAGGTCTCTTGTGTTCATTATGGTGATTATGGCCTGTCAGTGAGAAGTCTCTGTGCTATTCCAGGCGGGGGCCTGGGCTGACCTGATTTTTTTTTTTTTTTAATTCGGCATTCAAAATCAGAACCCAGAGTTTGTCTCAAGATAGCTGGTCTTTTCCACAAATGACTTCCCGCCAACTGCAGGCGAGGCATGTGGCGAGGGGCCTGGCGCGGGTACAGAGGCCAGGTGGCCTCTGTGTCACCTGCAGGGAGCTCCAGGTTCAGTAGGACTGATAAGTCCTCGGTGGTGGCTGTGTGTTCAGGAGGTCAGCAGGGAGGGGGAAGTCTTCCCGGAGGAGGAGGCCTTGCAGAGGGGTCCTGCAGGACGATGCTATGTGGATGGGGGTGTGGGGAGAAGGGGAAGGAGCAGCTGCAAACTTCAGTTGCTGATGGGCCCCGGGGGCTGTGGCTAGAGCTGACCGAACACAGGCCTCTCCGTCTACAGCTTCGGGGAGAGACAGGCTTGGGAGGATAATTTCATTTCCCATTTGCCTGCTCTCTCCTAGCAACAACTGCCCAAATAAAGGGCAGCAGATCCTTAAGACCCCGTGAAGACTGTCGAGGGGTGGCCTGTGGCGAGTGGGGAGGCCAGTGCCTACCCCACGTGCCTTCACCGACTGCTGCCTTGTGGGAAGGTGTCCCAGGGCTGCAGCGCCTCTGAGTCTTCCAGATGAGCTGGAACTTGGGTTTTTACATAAAGCCTTCTGAATTTAGGTGGTTTCAAAGCCCGATAACAGTCCCACCAGTCACCACCCTGGGCTTGATTTGCTTCGTGAGCCGTAGTCTGTGCCGACTGGGTCAGAGGAACCGACTACCGCTGTTCCCCCAGCTTTGATCTTTGTTCTGATGTCATGCGTCTGCCCCTCAACCCTCCTGTGGCCCAGCTTTGGGCGGCAGGCCAGGCCAGGCCAGGCAGGTTCCCCTCACGGCCTGCCTCCAGGGGCCAGGTGTGCGCGCCTCTGACCCGCGCTCCTACCTCCCCACAGATCGAGATGGCCATCCTCCGCTTTCCGTACGAATCCTGGGGGACTCCCTTCCAGCAGCTGAAGCAGGTGGTGGAAGAGCCGTCTCCCCAGCTCCCAGCTGACCGTTTTTCTCCCGAGTTTGTGGACTTCACTGCACAGTGGTGAGTCTGCAGCCTCCCAAGCCCGGCCCTGGCCTGACTCCAGCTTTGTCGCCCCGTGCCTGGTCCCTTTCTCCTTGAGCAAATAAATGCCCACATGACATAGCATCAAAATATGCAGGGCAGAAAGAGAGCACAAGGAGGAGCTGGCAAATGATGGTCTTTGGATTTTGAACGAGATCTGAAAGACCACAAGGTATTCAGAAGTGAAAGAACATATGGACATATCTTTGTATTGTGAGCAAAGAGATACTCAGAGGAAAATTTGTATCCTTTATTTCTTTTGTGGGAAAATAAGAAAGACTGCAGACAAACGAGCTTGGCAGGCAGAGGTCACTGGTTACCTTGCCCTTTCACACCTGGGTGTCCCTGGTCCCTGGAGCCGGGATGAGGTTTCCCTCCTGATGAAGGATACCGTGTCTGTGATTGTTAACGACTGTTTCACTGTCATTTGGTACTGGATCGTTGGGAATTCTCTGGATCACTCTGGAGATAAGAAAACAAATATCCCAAGAGGCAAAGCAACTTGGTCTAAGTCTCTGTAATGTGTACCCCCAGATCCCACTCCATCCTCAGGAGCCCCCCAGAACAGTCCCAGTCCTTCCTCCCAGGGCCCCAGGAGGACATGTGTGTCCTCACTGCCCACTTAGGGGTGAGCCCACCCTGACTTGGCTGGCCTGGACCAATCTCCTCCGTGCCAGTCTGGCTTCAGCCTGCCCCGTTCTCTCCTAGCTTGAGGAAGAACCCTGCGGAGCGCATGAGCTACTTGGAGCTGATGGTGAGTGTGGGGCGTGAGCGGGGCGTGAGCGGGGCGTGAGCGGCCTCGTGGTGGGGCTCTGTGGAGAGGGCCTCCCTGTGCACAGAGCCCGCGCCTCTTGCTTGCCTCTGTCCTAAATCATTCAGCTACTCAGTTGTGCCTCAGGGTGCGCTCAGACATACCCCGGCTCCCTCTCCCTCCTCCACACCAGGCCCCTTGGAGGGGCTCCAGCGGTGCTCTGACAGCTGGTGCTGAGGGCTGGGGTGGGAGATGGTAGGGGGAGGGAAGCCATTTCCTCCGAAGCTATCGGAGAAGGCCTCACAGAGGAGGTGCTATTTGAAGTGGGCTTGGAAGGATGAATAAGGACTTCGGTGCTGATGGGAAGGGCATTCCACTTGGCCGGAGGCCTGGTAGGGGTGGGGTGGAGGGAGATCAGTGTGGCCGGAGGGTGGCTGCAGGAGGGCAGGGGGAGGAAGCCAACCTGCTGTGTCTTAGTTAGGAGGGCTTCCTGGAGAGGGAGGTTCTAGAAGGAGGCATAGGAGATCGCCAAGCAGAGAGACAGGGGCCCTGGGCAGGCGGAGCACACGGGAGCCAGGGGTGCTTTGGGGAGGCGGGGGCATCTCTGCCTGGCCTCCGAGCTCTTACCCATGGTGACTGGCTTCTCTTGTCCCTCCAGGAGCACCCGTTCTTCACATTGCACAAAACCAAGAAGACAGACATTGCTGCCTTCGTGAAGGAGATCCTGGGGGAGGACTAGTAAGGGGCGGGGCCGTGGATTCCCTCTGGCCCTTCAGCGCCCCACACCCGCTCCGCTGGGGCACTGCTCGCCCACTCCCATGAACTACTGCCACCACAGCCTTGGGTGTTTGGGGGAAGAATCCAGGGGGCTGCTCTTGCCGGACTTGACAGCAAGCCATTGGCCCCAAGTGCCAAAGAACCAGACCACCGGGGCCTTCAGCCAGGCCCATGTGGGCCCCACCAGTGCCTCTGCCCCTGAAGCTCCACGGACCCCAAGTCACCAGCCCCTAAGATCCTGAACTTGGACGGGCCTAGATGGCCTCCGCGAGACCCTACTGCCCCTTGCAGAGAGGGCAGCCAGTGCCTGAGTACGGGAGACTGCCTGGGCCCAGCCCTGGATGCCACCCAAGTTGTATATTTTTTTTTTTTATCTCTTGACTGAATGGACTTTGCACACTTTGGCCTAGGGTGGCCACACCTCTGTCTTGGCAGCGGTGTCGGGGGACACGGTGGGGGATGAGCCACGTGAATCCTCCTGCGCCCCCACGAGTGAGACGACAGAGCCATGTGAGCCTTCAGCCCAGCACTGGCAAATGGGGCCTCTAAGGGTACATGGGCTCAACCCAGCCCCTGGCCACTGCCTAGGGAGTGGGGGGTTGTTTCACTTTTTTTTAATTTATCCTCTTGATTTTTTTTTTTTTTCTTTTGCTTTGTGGGTTTGGCTGTTTTTTTTTTTTTTTCTTGCATGGTGTGGAGCCGATCACTTTTCTCCCACCCCCTAGGGACCAGCAGGTGGATACCCCCTCTCTGTTCAGTCTGGGGTCTAGGGGGATGGGCCCAAGGTCTCTGCTCAGAGAGGTGCTAGGGGAGCTGTCCAGCTCACTCTCCTTGGGGACCGGCTCAACAGGGGCTGTGGATTTGCTTTTGGTGTTGTTTAGAAAAAAAAAAAAAAAAAAAAAGGAAAAAGAAAATATATTTTTTTGAAGAAAGGACTGTGCCCAGGGTCTTATCCCAGATGGGTTGGGGCAGTTACCTGATTGTTGTTTTAATTTAAAAAAAAAAAACAAAAAACTGGGACAAAGATTGTGTGAGACTGTGTGTCAGAGCGGCGAGTCCCACTCCTTGGTGAAGGTCTGTGGCCTGTAGGACATGCTCTTACTCCTGGGCCAAGGCCAGAGCAGCATGATCAGGGGAGGCGGGGGTGGGGGGGCTGCTGCTGAACCCCTCAGGCCCTACCCTGAACAGACCCTCGCACACGTGAGGGCACTGCAGCTCCCAGCTGAGGCTGCAGGCCCGGTGATGGTCATTGGGCAGAGCGGCAGACACAGGCCCAGCCCACTGGAGGGCTCCCTGCGCAGCGCCAATGAAGATTGTACTGCCCGGTGCACAGAGGGATGAGCACGTGCCAAGCACTGGCCCCCAGCCTCACCACAGCCGCCTCATCCAGGCTGTTAAGTAATTGTCTCCGGTTATGTTGTCATCCCCACTTTACAGAAGAGAAAACAGGCCAGAAAGCTGAAGTAACTTGCTCAAAGCCACACACCTTGGAAGGTGGAGAAACTGAGGCCTGGGTCCCCTGAGAGAGCTTTGAGGAGAGTCGTGGGGAGCTCAAGGAAGGTTCCTTGCCAGGGTCCAGAGTGACTCTATGATCCTATGATCTGTGAGGCCTGGGCTAGGGCTGACACCCTCCTCCAACAGATGGAAGCAGAAGGGAATATTTTTGCTCATGTAAGGACTGGCTTCAGGCATAGTTCGATCCGGGAGTCTGGCTAATATCCTGAAGAACTTGTGTCCAGCTTAGCTCTGTGTCCTCTGTCTCGGTTTCGCTCGTCCCTCATGGGGACAAGTCAGCAGCCAGTGGCTCCCACCAGCTTAGAGCTGCAGCAGAAGGCTCGGGGCTGACTCTCCGAGCTAGGAAGGGGTCCCATGCTCATCTTGCCAGTCACAGGCCAGGAGGATCAAACTGGGGAGAGTCAGCCTACTACATCTTGAGGTCTGAGAGCAGGACCTCCCTAGTCCTCCATGGGAAATTGGGTCATGTTCCCAGAAGGAGGCACTGATCCCTTTGGGGTCCATCTCTGTGCACGCTCCTCTCAGCCTTAGTTCAGCCAGAAGTGAAGTCTGTTTTTTTTTTTTTTTTTAAGATTTTATTTATTTATTTGACAGAGAGAGATTACAAGTAGGCAGAGGAGGCAGTCAGAGAGAGAGAGAGGGAAGCAGGCTCCCCGCTGTGCAGGGAGCCCGATGCGGGACTCGATCCCAGGACCCTGAGATCATGACCTGAGCTGAAGGCAGCGGCTTAACCCACTGAGCCACCCAGGCGCCCGTGAAGTCTGTTTTTTACCCCAAGTTGGTCCTCAGTCTGGGACAGGCTTCTGCCTATTAACCCTTCCCCAGCACAGCACTTAATCATTTCGAGGCACTTTGTGCCCCTCCCTCCGTCCCTCATGAAGGCAGCTTCTCACCTCTGGCCTCTGCCCCGACTATGGCCTCTACCTGGTGTGCCCCTCCCCATCTTCCTGTAGCTGCGTTCCGGGTCCGCTGTGTCCACCCGCACCCCCACCGCCTTGTGGGTCTGTGGTGTCCCTGCCTCAGAGATCCCTCCCGCATCTGGTCCAGCCGGCTAGCTCATCTTTATCAGCTTTATCTGGGTAGATCTGCCACTGTTGTGTCCCCATGCTGACATCTAGCAAGCATTCAGTCAACGTTCGTTGAATGAAAACGCGAATGAATGAATACACGAAAGGAAGGATGAGGGCGTGAATGAATTCCGAAGCCTTGTGTGTAGGTGCGCGCGTGGACGTATGCGCGTGCGCGGATCGGCTCGCAGGCGCGTGCGCGCTCGTGTCTGTATGTGTGCGTGCACAGGACGGGCAGGACCCGAGTCCCAGGGGCGCGGCCCCAGTCGTTCCTCCTGCCGCCACCAGGAGGCGGCAGAGCCCCGACTTTGACCTCGTGTCCCCGGAGCCCCGCCCAGCCTCCGAGCTCCCTGCCCACCCACTCTGTTCCCCACCCCTCACCCGCACTCGATGTTTTAGAGCGGAGCGACCAGGTGGGTTGGGGCTGGCGGGGCGCCAACGCTAGGTCTCTGAACCTCTCCACCCAGTTCTCGGTCTCTGCATCCTAGGCCCGCCTGTGCTCAGCCAGTCCTCTCCCTGTATGCACGGGCCGAGTTGGGAGCTCGGGCTGATGCAGAGTGACAGGGCAGAGGCCTGACTCATCTATAGAACCTCATGGGTGCACAGCCCACCCCGCCCTCCCCCGAGAGCTGGCAGATCGCTCTCCAGTTTACAAAGAGCAACACAGTTTACAAAGGACTTCGCACTTTGCAAAGCTCGGGGCTCTTTACAGCACAGTGTGCAAAGTAATTTACGTTTGCAGAGCCCTGTACTGAATTATAAAGCGCTTTGTAGTTTCCCAAGTAGTTTATAGTTTATCAAGTGCTGGCCCCATTAGGAAGCACTTTAGGGTTTGCAGGCAGATTCCTCTGCACATAGTTCAAACAGAGGTTGTTTACAGGTTCCTTTACTATTTATAGAACCCTTCAGATTTTATAAAGGGTGTCCAGGCATCCAAGTGGGGGTGCCAGTGTGCAGATAATTTGACATTTACAAAAGACATGCTCAGGCCCCAGGCCGTTGACAGTTCATATAACCTATGACCTCTGTGAAGGCTTCGCTCCTCACTGAAAGTGGCCAGGTCTCCTCTTCCCTGTCCCCAGGCTGTGAGGTAGAGGTCAGAGGCTCTTTGCCAGGGCTGGATGTCTCCATTCCTCTCCAGGCAGCACATTCTGGGTGGTGGGGCGGGGGTGCCTATCCCTGGGGCTAAGGAGTCTCTCTGGACCGACAGATGGTTGGCAGAGGAACGTGGACTTTTTGTTGCAATGACAGTAGTGAGAGCATCCTCATCAGGCAGCATTCAGGCCTGGTCAGGAGTGGGAAGGCAGTCTTATAGGGAAGATGAGGCCACTTCTCCTCCGGAGGCCACGGAAAGGCCAGGGAAGGTAGTCTCTCTTGTTAAATATCAGCCGAGTCCCTTGTCTCCTCAGAACCACGCTGTGGATCCCACCTCCACTCGTCCAAGCCTCCTGATGGCCCACAGCGCCCACACCAGCTGGCTGGCCATCTCACCACTCTCCTACTTCTTATCTGCGCTTCAGACACACAGTGCTCAACCACGCTAAGCCTAGACCCACCTCAGGGCCTTTGCACTGGCTGTTGTCTCTGCCCAGAACACTCTCCCAAGATGTCCTCCTGGCTGGCTCAGATGTCTCTGTTTACATGCAGCCTCATGACAGAGGCCTCCCAGGCTCCCCGTCACTCTATCCCTCACCCTAGCATATTTTCTTCCCACTGCACCAGGAGCTCTCATACGGGTACCCGGAATGGAGGGGGCTCTGGCACTGACAGGAAGTGACAGGTGCAGGGAAGGTGCCGTCTGACTTCAAGGCTGAACCTAGAACCAAGGCAGCGGGCCGGGAGCCCAGCGCCGTCAGAACTGCGCCAAGGTTTGGGCGGCGGCTGGGGGAGGTGCTGCGGTTCTATTCATTTTAGGGCGTCAGTCCTGGGAGGGCTCCCCAGGAGCAAGGTAACCCTTCAATGCGCAGGGTGCGGCGGTGCACCTCCGAGAATGGGAGCAAACAGCTCAAGGCCACACAGCGAGCGGCACCAAACCTGGGCGCCGCGCTCCGCTCCGTGGGCGTGTCCCGCGCATCAGCCGTCCACCGCCTGGCTGGGGCTCTGAGGGCAGGGCTCGCTGCGATGCTGCGGACTTGAGCACAGCCCTCCCGAGAACCGAGAACCGTGATTAAGGCTTACTCCCCCGCTCCAGTTCTGAAGCCTGTTTGGGTAACTCTAGCCCCAGGGGAGGGCGGGGAGGGGGTGGCTGGCAAGTGGCTCCCAGCCCCCGGCTTTATCTTGGGCCCGCTCCACGGCTGCCTATGGCAGGGGTGGTGACTGAGCCCGCAGGGCGGCTGTCTTTCCTCTCCTGGCAGGGACCTAGCATCTGGCCCGGCCCTCCAGGGATGGACTGATCCCTTCCCCGCCAAGCCCTCCCACCCGGAGTCTGTGGCCTCTGCTTGGACACCTCCCCCGATGGGGAGCTCATTCTCCTTTAGACTTCCTGGAGGGATCAGAGGTTCTCCTTGTCCTGGTTCTACTCCCTGAGGCCTGTGACGTGAGGGCCTCATGTGTAAACCCTGGCACGCTGTAAGTGTTCATTTCTTTGCCTCTTGTGAAAGCCATTCGGAACCCTTTTGGAAACCAGGTGGGAGGGTCTATATATACATCTGCTGTGCTATGTTTATCGTGGCTCGTGCATCCTCACGCCTGGGGACTCGGGGTCTCCTGGAGGTTACAAAGGCCCAGGGAGGGTCTGGCCCTGCCTGCAGCCCCCCACAGACAGTGAAGCAGAGCTGGGTGAACCCAGAAACCCGGGTGTCCTGCCCCGTCCCCCATCCCCAGCCCAAGCTTTGCCCTACCCCGAGTGAGCCACCTGCCAAGCCAGGTTTAGCTGCCTCCACCCCCTCCAGACTCGCTGAAGCTGTGGGCTGCTCTATTCTTGTCCTGGGCCAGCCTTGCCGCGAGACTGGGGTGGGAAGATGCTTGGGGTGCACCAGCCCAGGAAGTCCTTCCTTTCCGTGGCTCCCCATTGCCAGGGGGGCAGGCAAAGGACACCGAGCAGGTACTCTCCACGGCAGAGCCTTATCTGGATTGCTCACTGTGGGGCTTGGCCACGGAAGGTGTTATCTGAGTGCCCACTGTATGCCAGGGAGCCTTCCAGAGCTGGAGCTCCAGCGGGGCTGAGGCTGACTGGGACCCGCCCTCAGTGAGCTCAGCGAGGGCACCGGAGCGGGAAGGAGAGAACTCACAGATGCTTAAAGCAGCATTTCCCACTTCTTTTCCATTATTGCTCCCTGAGGAGAAACACCACAATAAATTAATTAATTACATCATTTATGTTCATTAAACTTAATTATAATTAAGTAGTTTGATTCATGAGGTGAATTATTTAAATTTACTTTCTCCTGAACGAGAGATACGGTACTAAGGAATACAATTTTGTCATGTGGGGTCACAGATT